CTGGCCCCCCAGGGCCTGGGATTCTCTTTGCTGCCTAACATGACAGGGCTCAGGAGCGGGAGGGGGCAGGGGCCCCGCAGCAGCTGGAAGGGGAATTGAGTGGGAAGGGGCCGGTGCTGGCAGCCGGGAGAGAGTTTGATGGATTACTCTGCGGGCCTAGAGGTTTCTCCCTAATCCCCCTTTGTGTCCCGGCCTGCAGCCCCCTCACTCTCTCTGACAAGCTGCTAAGCAGAAGGCTTCCAGTCTGAGTGAAGAAAAGGCAGCGCAGCAGGCGGACTCTAAATCCCTGGCCTCTGGGCCCTGGGGGGGCAGGAGCTAGGGAGCAAGTCCAGGAGGGGGTGGATCTTCCTCCTTCTGCCTGGCCCTTGTTCTTTCTTATAAGTTCCTTAAAGTGCAGAGGTTGCATCCTGAGTGGTGTTTTCGGGTGTCTGTGGGAGCCCTGCAAAGTCATGGGCCTTGGCTATTTGTGCAAATCACTGCCTTTTTGTAGGGTGGGATCAGGAGACGCAGACCCTTGCTTCTTTGGAAGTATTTGAACCCAGAGAATCAAAGATTAAATATGGCTTGCTGAGCCTAGCGCAGTCTAATCCCATGCCCCTTCACCCCAGAGCCCAGGTAGGAGTTCCCACTGCGGAGCTTCCCTGACAAGCAGGTCTGTAACCACAGCCAGCTCATTGCACCTCAAGGATGCTCACTTTCAGGTTTCCTGGCTGGGCAGCTGGCCTCTTCCTGGGGTGTCCCGAGGCTCCCTGTGGAGCTGTCATGAGGGTGGAACTCATTTTAGGAACGCGGTGTGCTGGGTTTCACTAGGTGAGGCCGAGGGCACAGGTTCTCAGGGACTGAGGCAAGGGGTTGGCAGGCAGGGAGGCTGGGCCGGTGAACCCTCAGCCCTCTCCCCACCCCCAACCCAGAGGGCCTGGAGAGCTCAACTTGGAGCCAGAGTCTGGGGTCCGGTCCTGTGTGGAAGAATGGGGGTCCTTCCTACCTCGAAGTCTTGCAGCCTCCACCGAAGGTTGCTCCCCACCCTCAGCCCTGGCCTGGGGTGGGACAGCCTAGTGTAGGGTCGTATGCTGGGGGGATTGCCCTGGAGTGACTCCACCCCCTCCACCTCTGCGTCTTTCCCCCTCTGGCTGGCCTACCCTGTCCCCAGCTCCCTGCTCTGTGGGGAGGGAGAGGGGTGCAGGAGCTTCGAGAAAGCCGCACTATCTTTGTAAGCAGGGAGGGAGGAGGGCACGGTCGGTCGCTGGCTGCCAGCTCCTCGGGTCAGGGTGGGGGCTGCTGCTGTTTGATGTGCCTGGGTGGGGTGTGGGGACGCTGGGCCGAATAAAGAGGCCATAGAATTGCTGCCTGACGCTGGCCCATGGCAGTGGGGCTGCCCCAGACCGGGCTCCCTCTGGCCTCTGTCTGTCAGCCGAGGGACTCTGCTCCCCCCAGCTCCACTTCAGCCCTGCGGTGGCAGGAGCCCCTTTGAAAGCCCTCAAAGGCCCCTTTATATGTCCCTCTGACCCTCCCTTCCCATAGGGAGCTACGGGAGTGGGCTTGGGAGTGGGCTGTGGGCTCAGTTGCCTTTCCTCCCGCCTCCTCCACTCTGTCATCAGAATTTTGGAGAAAGTTCAGGCCAAGTTTGTTGCTCTTGCTCAGTTTCATTTCCCCACACTCCCTGCTGAGGCCTAACCTGCAGCGGGCTGCTAACGACCCCACTGCCTGCTCCTGGGCGTGCCCTGTGTCGGAGCCCATGCGGTGTTAGGTCTCCCGGTATCCGGAGCTGGACAGGCAGAATGCAGGGTCACGGATCCTGCCAAGGCCCTTGGCTCTCTGGGCTGGGGCTCTGCTCCCCCAGGGGGAGGAAGGATGGGCTGGGGTGGAGCTCCAGGAAGGCTCTCAGAGGCCTTGGGTTTCCTCCAGCTTTCTTGCTGTCCTGTCATCAGGGGGTCCAGACGGGTGGCGGGGGGGCAGATATTTGCAACTTGAGAGGGTCTTGTCCCAGAGGGCCACAGTTCCTTTCCCGGAGGTCAGGTCAGACTCCCCCTTTGGTACCTGACTCCCCCTCTGCACCCCACCCCTCCCTACCAGGTGTGTGTGAGTCTGGCTCTTTGGGTTGATCCTCTGTTTGCCAGGCAGGCAGAGTGCTCAGGGGCAGCGGGCAGGAAGGTTTGAGCCAGAAGCATCTCTGAGCCGGGAGGGTATAGGAGAGAATCGGCTCCTGTCTCCTTGCCTGTCTCTCTGCCTGTCTTCCTGAGGCAGACAGGGGAGCTCCCCAAACAGGGGACTCAGCAGTGACCTGTCACCTTTAAGTGTTAGCCAGAGATGTACCCTGGGGCCACTCGAAGGAGTATTGCTGGGAAAGTGGTGGGAACCCCTTCTTGTCGTCCCTCCCCCCCACCCCACCCCCCGTGTCTCTGGCCTGGGGGCCAGAGGGCCTGGGCTTCTCTTCTCTCTTCATGCCCCCTGGAGGGATGGCAGGTGACTGGAGTTAGTGCTGTGGGTGCCCTCAGTCACCTCCTCCACCCTGAGCGTCCTGGAGTGGGGATGACGAGGGGCAGACTAGGGCACTGGAGAAGATGTAAGGAGAAAGGGGGCTTTGGAAGGGAGAGTGTTCCTATGGGCTTGGAATTCCTCAAGCACTTCCAGGCTGGAAAGAGGGAGGTGTGAGGGCGGTGAGCGAGCCCTGGACCCCAGGATGCAGTAGGGGTCCAAAGCAGGAGGACGGGCTCGGCAACCCAAGAGCAGAGTGCGCCAGCCAGCGAGCGGGGCTTGGAGCCAGCCCACTTCCTAACCGGCTCCTCCCAGTGAATGCCTCACCTTGCCCCGCCCCCCCCCTCCCGGTTTCTAGGTAGAGAGCCTCTGGGAGGTGGGGAGAGGTGCTGAGGAGGGAGGCAGCTCCTGGGCTATCTGGGTTATAGGTGGATGAGGGGAAATTCCTCTCTCCACCCCTTTTTATCTTTGTCCCTTATGAGCTAAGGAGCTGGATTAAGGGAAGGGGTGAGGCAGGGAGGCAGGTGGGGTGATTAACAGTGGCTGGAGAGCTGCAATTTATTTTAAACAATGGGGAGGAACCAGGGCTTGGTGGCAGCCCTGGGCATGGGGGCAGGTTGTGGGTGAGGTTGGGTCTAAACGCTTCTGTCTGCTCAGGGAGGACCTGGTCCTTAAAAGCCCAGAGCACGTGAGTGTCCAGGGTCTGCCCAGGCTGAGGGCAGTGGAATGGGCTCAAAGCCTTTTAACCCAGAACCCCTCCCTCCAAGCTGGAAGGCGCCCCTGGTCTCTGTACCATCCACTGCTTCCCTTCTGGGGGTGCTATGGCAATGCATCCAATGGGGAGGGTCTGGACTCAAGCTGAACCCACAACTGCCCTGCAAAGACTAATATCTGGTACCACTACCCCCTTTTGGGTCAGTGTTTTACACTCCCCCCGTGCCACCCAGTCCATGTCCTTTCCCGAAGTTGGTGGTCTGGGTCTGAGCGGAACTTTGGGGAGGATGCTGCTGGTAGCTCAGCTTTATGTGAAGCCCCTCCCTTCCTGATCTCCCAGCTGCGAAGCCCCAGAAGGCAGTGATGGGATGGAGACCTCTTCCCTAGGATTGACGGCCCTCTGATCTGTCCGTGGCACTGCGCGGAGAGCACCTACAACCTGTTTTGTAACACACAAGGCCCTGTGGGGTTAAGTGTCACTTGAAAAGATAAATGAGGTTGGAGCGCCAAATTATGAGATGCTGAGATTGCGAGAGGGAGTGAGTGGCGGTTGGGGCGCTGCAGGTAGGGGAGGAGACCCGGGCCTGGCCCTCTGCCGCTGTGGACCTCACGCAGGAGTAGTCCTCTTCAACAGCATTGGTCGGACTGAATCAGACAGGCCTGGGGAGGCACGGGAAGGCGCTCCCGACTCCAGCCACCAGCGGCCTGAAGCTCTGTGCACCCACCTCCTTTGAAATGCATGACAGGTTAGGGGACTCCTGCCTTTTCACACCAAGATGCCCCCTCCCTACCTCCTCTTCCGGCTGATGACTGACATGGTCTTTTGTGGTTACTCCTGAACAGGGCAGACTGCAGCAGGTGCTGCTGTGACGCATGCCCCGGAGGCCAGCTGGTGGTGGGGGGCACAGGGTGGGTGCTTCCCAGTGGGATGTCTGCCCAGGAGGCAGGCCTAGAAGGCAGGGCTGTGAGGACTTCTCTGCTGAGAATGGAGCTGTTTGGGGAGCACGGGCTGCTGGGGAAGTGGCGGGGGGCACAGGGGCGTGACGGTTGCCGGCAGTTGGTGTGGTTTCATGCCCCTGTGAGATTGGGACCTGGGAACATCCTGGCCCAGCTGTGGCCCCACTTTCCCATGACACTCAGGCAGTGCACGTGGGGATGTTTCTTAACTGGGAACGGGGGGTATGGGCAGAAACCAGGGGAGAGGCTTTCAGGCCCAGGCTCTTTCAGGGAAGTGCTCTTTTGGTGGGTCAGTGACAGGTTCAAATCCCGCCCAGCAAACCACAGTCTCGCACCCTTTCCTCTTGTCCTTGTCCTTGGGGATGGGAGTTATGGCGCAACATGGCTTGCAGCCAGGCGGTGCAGAATAGGAAGCCCTGCCCTTAACAAAGGGGGATGGGGCTGCGCAGCTTCGGGCAATGGAGAGAGAAGCAAGTAGACCTGGTCTGGTGGAGGGTCCCCGGGGGCACCTTGAAGACCCGGCCTGGGGACCTGGGAATTCAGTCGGTTTGATTTCTTTTTCCTCCCCCACTCACAGAGGAGGGCAATTGCTAAGGTATTCCAAGACAGAGTAATCAACATCTCTTTGGCTGTGGAGTGTGCTGAGGTTTAAAATTCATATTTACCTTATTAATTATGTCAGCCTTAGGCTAATATTAACATACATTTCCTGACTGGGCAGTAGGGGGTGGCGCCTGGGTGGCAGGGCCGCCCCATCAGCCTGGGAGCAAACAGGATTCAGAGCATTCAGAGCAAATCCTGGAGACCTGGTTCCCAGGACTTAACACTTGGTGTGTTTGTCCCTGCCCTTTTAGGCGCCGAGTGACATGTCCCCACCGAGGCACTCCACGGAAGCAGGCATATAGCATGGGCTGAGAAGCCGGGCCGGCACGGAGGGCTGGCAGAAATGGGCTCCCGGCCGAGTCCTGGGCAGCCAGCGGCGGCAAGGAGGAGAGGCCCGGGCACCTGGAGCAGGGCTGGGATGAGGCAATTCTGGAGAGAGTGACCGGCTCGCAGCCCTGCCCGCCTGGCCACCATGGTCCAGAGGCTCTGGGCAAGCCGCCTGCTGCGGCATCAGAAAGCCCAGCTGCTGCTGGTCAACTTGCTGACCTTCGGCCTGGAGGTGTGCCTGGCCGCAGGCATCACCTACGTGCCCCCTCTGCTGCTGGAAGTGGGGGTAGAAGAGAAGTTCATGACCATGGTGCTGGGTGAGTCACCTCGTCCCCCTGCCCTCCTGTTCCAGTTACATGCCACCCGGAAATAGGGCAGCAGGGCCTCTGCCCAAAGAGCCACCTGGAGGGGGAGGTGACTGACTGCTGGGTTGGTGTGGCTGGGGACGGGCGTGACCTGGGCTGAGGGGGTCCCAAGAGGAAGAAAAGAGTACGGGGACGTGCCCTGGTCACCACTATACCCCTGTATAGTGACTGATTCATAGGAGACACTATAGAAATGGCCCTTCCCCTCTGGATAGCCCTTTATAATCTGCACCTTTTATCTCATGCTTGCAGCAAGCCTCTGAGGTGACCGAGGTCCGCGGAGCAGATGAGGGGGGTCTGTGCGGAGTTAGTTGCCCTAGCCGGGCTGGACTCTGAGCCAGGGCTCTTCCTTAGCCCTGGGTCAGGGGTTGAGCTCTCGACTGCAGATAAATTCTGCGACAGCCACAAAAGTGGTCGCCATCATGTGACTCCCAGGAAGAAGGGGCTGCATCAGAATGACAGGCCGTGGGGTCAGGCTGCCGGGGGAAGCCCCGCCTCCCGCCCTCCCTAGCTCTAGCCTGAACACAAGTGTCACTTATCTGTTGCTCTGTGCCTCAGGTTCCCCATCTGAAATTGGGGCATTAGGGATCCAAGCTGTGAGGAGTAAAGTAGAGTCCCGGTGAAGTACTCAGCACAGCACCCAGTACAGGATTGGTCCTCCCTGTGACAGTACCTCCACGGTCATTCCCATCCTTCTCAGGGAGGATGGTCCCCTCACCGCTGCCCCATGAGGGCCCCAGCCTCTGGCTCACACTACTTGCCCTTCTTGCAGGCATCGGTCCAGTGCTGGGCCTGGTCTCGGTCCCGCTCCTAGGCTCAGCCAGCGACCACTGGCGTGGGCGCTATGGCCGCCGGAGGCCCTTCATCTGGGCCTTGTCCCTGGGCGTCCTGCTGAGCCTCTTCCTCATCCCGAGGGCCGGCTGGCTGGCGGGGCTGCTGTGCCCCGACACCCGGCCCCTGGAGTTGGCGCTGCTGATCCTGGGAGTGGGGCTGCTGGACTTCTGTGGCCAGGTGTGCTTCACCCCACTGGAGGCCCTGCTCTCCGACCTCTTCAGGGACCCAGACCACTGTCGCCAGGCCTTCTCCGTCTATGCCTTCATGATCAGCCTCGGGGGCTGCCTGGGCTACCTCCTGCCTGCCATTGACTGGGACGCCAGCGCCTTGGCCCCGTACCTGGGCACCCAGGAAGAGTGCCTCTTCGGCCTGCTCACTCTCATTTTCCTCACTTGCGTGGCAGCCACGCTGCTGGTGGCTGAGGAGGCAGCCCTGGGCCCGGCCGAGCCAGAGGAAGGGCCGTCGGTCCCCTCCAGGCTGCCCCACTGCTGCCCATGCCGCGCTCGCCTGGCTTTCTGGAACCTGGGCTCCCTGTTTCCCCGGCTGCACCAGCTCTGCTGCCGCATGCCGCACACCCTGCGCCGACTCTTTGTGGCCGAGCTTTGCAGCTGGATGGCATTCATGACCTTCACGCTGTTTTACACGGACTTCGTGGGTGAGGGGCTGTACCAGGGTGTGCCCAGGGCGGAGCCGGGCACCGAGGCCCGGAGACACTATGATGAAGGTAAGGCTCAGTGGCTGGGGGCTGTGGTAGGGCTTCCCTGGTCGGGGGTATGGGGATGCCCAACACCTGTGCTCACCCTCGGACCATCTTTCTCTGCACTTAGCCAGCAGCTCTGGCCATGTTCCCTGAGGTCAGTGAACGACCTAGACCCCTGGTGTTACAGGTTGGGTAGGGAGGGTGCTGGGGGGCGGGGCAGATCTACAGCAAGTCTTGAGAGGCAGGTGACCGTGCCTTGGCCCCCAATTCTGAGCAACAGCCCCAGGTTGCATTGGCCCCCCCGTCTGACCGCCTCTTTCCCGCCTCCCTGTCCAGGAGTCAGGATGGGCAGCCTGGGGCTGTTCCTGCAGTGTGCCATCTCCCTGCTCTTCTCTCTGGTCATGGACCGGCTGGTGCAGCGATTCGGCACCCGGGCAGTCTATCTGGCGAGTGTGGTGGCTTTCCCTGTGGCTGCTGGTGCCACGTGCCTGTCCCGCAGTGTGGCTGTCGTGACCGCCTCGGCCGCCCTCACCGGGTTCACCTTCTCCGCCCTGCAGATCCTGCCCTACACACTAGCTTCCCTCTACCACCGCGAGAAGCAGGTACTCACGCCGATGCTGCGGCACAGACGCTGGGGACTGGGGAGGCGGGGTGGGGCCGACTGGCCCAGAACCGGCGTCAGGCGAGAGATGCTGGAGAAAGCAATCTTTGATCAGAAAGGAAGCCAGTGTAGCTCCAGGACCAGAGAAGTGGCCCCAGGAAGGAGGGTACAGGTTAGACTCTGGGAATGACTTCCTGATGTCAGGATCACAGAGCACTTGAGTGGATGATTGCAGGAAATGCGAGACCCTTCTCCGGGAGTTCTGAGAATCAGTCCAACAGAAGCCCTCAGACTGGGCTGGGCTGTTCTGTGCAGAGGCAGGGGCTGGATCTGCTGACCTCTGGGGCCCAGCTCCGGCGGGGGGTGAGCGGCAATGGCCCGGTGGGGGCAACACCGCCCCTTACTCAGCGAGAGGCTGGGAGAGGCACTGCGACTGACCTGTGTCCTAGATGTCTCCTCAGAATTTGCCTTCCTCTTTCTAAGTCTCCTTTCCTGCCTCCCTCCTTTGCCTCCTTGTTTTTCCCCCGCCCCCAGGGCAGACTCTGAGCCTGACACTCCTGACACCTTTCGCCCTGGCGGGTGCTTTGTAAGTCAGGCAGCCTCACACTAACCAGCCCTTCCCTTCTATGGGAAGCCTCCTGACCTGGGCTGCATGGTCACCTTTGTCCCCTCCCCTGGCCTCACTGAGCTATAGCCCTGGGTGCAGAGCTCTGCCCAGATGGGCAAGAAGTTAGGGTGTCCCCAGGGAGGAGGTGCAGCTCTGGCCCCAGAGCTTCCAGACCGCAGAGAAGACGAGTCTCTGCCATTTTAGGACATGAGTGGGGTAGCAGAGAAGCACTGCGCTGAATCGGCAGCTGCGGGGTGGGAGGGACGGCAGGAGGGCCGGGGTTTTGGTGAAGGGGGCCTGGTTTCTGAGAGCTGTGCCCGCACACTGGTAACTTGGGTCAGGCTCCACTCTTCCACTGTGCTGGCTCGGGGCTCAGGGGCTGATGTCCAGAGGCCAGGCTTGCCACGTGCCCTTGAGCCAGAGAACACGCTGGGGCTGGTCCCTGCCGTGGACTGAGGAGCGCGCCGATCTGCGCCACTCCAGCCTCGCTGGTCTTTCCTGGGCTGGCAGGCATGGAGGAGAGGTCCTGGGAGGTCCCATTCCAGCAGCCAGAGATGGCACGCCCGGCCCTGGGCACCGCCTGTGCCTGCCTTTGCCCCCTTGCAGAAGTCGTGGGCTTCCCTGGGGTCAGGTTCGAGCTCTGCCATGGTTTCCTAATGCAGCCAACTCCAACTCTTGCCTGTTAAGCACCAGTGGGCATGGGGACAGTCTGATAAGTGGTAGCCTCATCCTTAAATAGGAGGCTCAGGCTGCTGGGGGCAGGGCAGGGCCGGGCCAGGTCTCTCTGCTCTAAGGTGACAGTGAGAAGGTGGGGGAAAGGACTTCTACATGCACAGCCAGGGCAGGGATTTGGGGAGGATGGTGATTTCCTCTTGCTTCTCTCTTTCTGAGGCTGTGTCTGCTGGACCCTCCTTGCCTCCAGGCGGGGACCCCAGTAGGACAGCCACTCCAGCCAGGGCCTGGGGGCGGGGGGCAGTGAGGGCAGGGCTTCACCCTGAAGACAGTGGCTAGGGTTTCCCCATGTCCAAGTGGTGGGGGAAGGAAAGAAAAGGGTTGGGAGAGCCCGCGTGGGGTGTGGGCCGCCCGGGGCCCCAGCCTTGGATTTCACCCCTCCGTCCTTACACGCCTCTTCCCTGTCTTCGTTCTGCCTGGCTTTCCCTTCCCAACCTGCAGTGCCGCATTTGTCCGCCATCCACCCGTTCCGGGAGAGGCTCTAGGGGACCTAGGCTTCTGGTTTCAGATCTGTCCCGTCCCTGTCTCCCCTCTCCTTCTCCCTGGCCCAAGGAGGGTCCTGACTAGGCCCAGCCAAGCAGGGTCTGCTCAGTTTTTTGACCTGCTGCCCCATTTTCTTTAAGGCCCATGGCCTGGTTCTCATAGCTGGGATTCCCCTGCCCGGGTGCACACCTGTCCTTGTCCCCTTTTCTTTCCTCTGTCTCCACAGGTATTCCTGCCCAAGCACCGAGGAGACGCTGGAGGTGGCACCAGTGAGGACAGCCTGATGACCAGCTTCCCGCCAGGCCCCAAGGCCAGGTCCCCCTTCCCCAATGGACACATGGGTGCTGGAGGCAGCAGCCTGCTCCCACCTGCACCTGCGCTCTGCGGGGCCTCCGCCTGCGACGTCTCCATGCGTGTGGTGGTGGGCGAGCCGCCTGAGGCCAGGGTTGTTCCAGGCAGGGGCATCTGCCTGGACCTCGCCATCCTGGATAGTGCCTTCCTGCTGTCCCAGGTGGCCCCATCCCTGTTCATGGGCTCTATTGTCCAGCTCAGCCAGTCTGTCACTGCCTATATGGTGTCAGCCGCAGGCCTGGGTCTGGTTGCCATTTACTTTGCTACACGGGTAGTATTTGACAAGAGTGACCTGACCAGATACTCAGTGTAGAGTACTTCCTATCCCCTGAGGGAGGGCCTGCCTCACTGGGTCCCAGCTCCCGGCGTTCCAGGCTCCATAGGGCTACTGGGCTGGCCTCCCAGATTCTATTGCCGCCTAAGTGGTGTGGCTCTCTGCTGCCACCCCGTGGTGATAAGGTGCATAGCTGCACAGTTAGAGCACTGGGGCCTCCCTCCCATTTGTTTAGGGCTGTGGTTGACTCCAAAAGGGCTTATTAAGTCTGGACTTACACAGAGAGAGAAGGGCAGGGCATTTGATTAGCACCATGCACTGGAATTCAGGACTCTGGCAGAATTACCCAAGCTCAGGGTTAACAGCTAGTGTCTCGATCAAGACATACCAACGGAAGGTATTTTGGGAGCTGAGTAAACTCAGCCACCAGTTCTCCCCTCTCCAAGCCCCCATATCCTGTAGGTTCCCCTAATGTTGCCCTAGTGTGAAACTCTCTACAGGATTTAAAAATATGAAAGTTACCAGGGCGGGGTTGGGGCACGGGCAGGTTCCTGAGCAGAAAGGGGGCGCTGCCTGGCCCCGCAGCACTTCCTTTCCACTGAGTCCCCAGCCCTGTTTCATCAGGACATGGCTTGTTGGCCCCTGTATCTCCATCATAGGGACACAGGCCTTTAAATATTAATTTATTTATTTAACTAAATAAGAGGGCATCGATTCCCAGCTTTGCCATGTCTGGTTTAGGAGGTGACCTCCCCAGTGACTGGATCCTATGAAATGGCTGGTTATTGGGCTAAGGATTGTCAGAATCTCATGTCCTGGGGGAGATTGGTCTGGCCCCAAAACTGCCTAACCCAGGAGCTTGGAAGCTCTGCTCACCCCAGCTGATATACCAACTCCTCTTACCCTAGGCTGCGTAAAGGTGGAAAGTTGGGCTTCAGGTCTCAGCAGCCTCCCGAGCCTCCCCTCCTCTCTTGGCCCAGCCTGCCCCTGCCCCACGCCCATATGCTCCCTCTAGGACTGTGCTGATGAAGGAGCCGCCCACCCCCACCTTTCCCTGGCTTCACAGTCTGTCTTCGGGGCTGTTTCAGGACCAGAAGCAGCCAGTGTGGCCCCTGAACCTTTGTCTGTCTCGGCGCCCAGGGCATATCTGTGCTTGGGGACTCTCACGCAGAAACTCAGGAGCACCCCCTGCCTAGGCTAAGGAGGTCATATCTCTGGGGGGTTTTAAGTGCCGTTTGCAATAATGTCATGTTTTATTTATTTAGCGGAGTAAATATTTTATACTGTATGTGAGCAATCAGAGTATAATGTTTATGGTGATGAAATTAAAGGCTTCTTATATGTTTAATTGGCCTGTAGTTATCTTTTTCTGCCGTGTAAGGATCAGATTTCTCAAAAATGATCCCCAGCTCCCTGTTCATGTTTTGGCAGCTTCAGTTCCCAGCACCACCAGTAGGTGGAGCCACAGACCAATACGCTGCTGTCCTTTGGTGATGGGCTTGTGGCTGTGCAACCCCCTGGACTGGGGGCTTCCTTTGGGAATGTCCGGGAGAGGAAGGGAGTGGAAGAGTAGGGAGTGCAGGGAAGTGAGGGCATTTTCGTTCTCAAAGGGCTCATCGTATGTCCAAGGAGATGGAGCAAGAACTACAGCAGTACAGACTCCCTGAAGTGCAGGTGAGGATTTTGACCCCCCTGTGCCTTGGTTCCTGCCTTTTCTCATCTCCTTGACCCTTCCTGCCAGGCTTAGGTCAAATTCAGAGGCTTCTCCGCCTTGTGACCTCCCTCAGCCCTTCAAACTTGATGGGTCTTCCTGTCCTTTAAATTCAGGTAGTTAATAGCAAGAACTAGCTTTACTTATTTTTCAAATGTTCTGTATGTTTTTAAAATGGTTTTATCTATTTATTTTTCTTTAGAGAGAGGGGAAGGGAGGAAGAAAGAAAGGGAAAGAAACACTGATGTGTGAGAGAAATATTGGTTGGTTGCCTCTCCCACGTGCCCCTGCCGGGACCAGGCCCGCAGTCCAGGCATGTGCCCTGATGGGGATGAACCGGCGACCTTTCACCTTGCAGAATCACGCTCAACCAGCTGAGCCACACTGGTCCTGGCTCTTATTTTATTTAACTTTTTATTATGGAAATTTTCAAACATATGTGAGTAATGAACCTGGTGTAATGAACCTAACTTCAACAATCAGTAACATCCTGCCGTTTCTGTTCCTTACCCCTCATCCCTTGCCTTTTTTTTCCTGAGGTATTTTTAAAGCAAGTAGCAGACATAATTCATTTAACTTATAATACTTCAGTGCATATCTTTAAGAAATAGGACTTTTTAAACAACTCTGTCACGAGATGATGTACATATCCAACCAACGTAATTCCTTACTGTTAATTATCCAGTCCATGTACACATTTTCCCAATTGCCTCGAGAATATCATTTACAGTTGGCTTATTCAAACTAAAATAAACTAAGATAAATTGCCTTTAGTAGTATGTCTTTAACAGTTCCTCTCTTTTTTTAATACCATTTGTTTGTGAAAAAACACTCATTTCTTCTACAGAATTACCCACTTTCTATATCTGGCCGACTGTTGTCACTATTGAGATGGTCTTTCCCCTTTTCCCACCATAAGGTGGTAATGAGCTCTAGAGGCTAGATTAGGCTCAGATTTGATTGTGCCACCGTAAGGACACAGGCTCTTAAATATATAACTTACTTAGCAGTGCATTCATATACTGCTCCTACATAACTTTAAAGCGAATTTCAGACATCATATTTAATTTCTAAATATTTCAGAATGTACTTCTAAAAGGTAAGGACTTATTTTTAAAACCACATAGCCATATTACTATCATCAGATAAAAAAAAATTCCTTAGCATAATCAAATATCCAGTCAGTGTTCACATTTCTGTCTCATAAATTATTTTATATAGTTTTTGTTCAAATTAGAATCTAAATATGAGATAGGACCCCAAAAACCCAGAATTTATTTATTAAAAATTGTGTATTTATTCTTACATGTTTAAACTTCATATCAAAGTACTCTCCATTTGGTGCAATAAACCTACAGAGGTGTTTTTTTTTCACTGCTCAAACAGTGTGTGAACTTGCTGATTTTGATGCCTTTTAGTGCTTCTGCCATTTTTCTTGTTTCACCTCTTCCATCCTCAACAGCAAAATGTTTCCCTTTGAGGAGTTTTGTCATCAGGGGAAACAAAAAAAAATTGCTTGGGGCAAGATCGGGTGAATAGGGAGGGTGAAGAGTGGGGGGTCATGCCATTTTTGGTCAAAAACTACTAACACTCAGCCTGGTGCGGACAGGTGCTCTGGCAAATCACCCATTGTGAAATGGGCAAATGTGTGGAGTCCTTAAAAAAAATTCACTGAAGCTGAACGCAGCCTTTCACACCACCGCCAGCTGGTGCACTGATGCAGATGGATTCTTAGTACTCTCACCTAACTGCAAGGGACCCCCTCCAGAAGATAGTTCTGGGTTTCTTTGGGTCCTGCTCATAAGTTCCATATGTTGCGGTTGATTGATGTGTCTCTTAAATTCTTATAATCCATAGGCATCTCCTCAACTTTTACTTTTTCCCTTGTAACTTATTTGTTAAAAAACTGGATTGTTTGTCCTGTAGATTATGGTTATATTTCACATGTTTTTATTGCCTCTGTATTTTCTGTTACATTGGTAATTAAAGTCAGAGACCAGATTAGATTTTGGGTTTTTTTGTCTGTTTTCACACTACTTAATAGATTTGTGTATGTCCGTAAAAAGGAGCATGTATTAGCTGGTTGTCTTTTTTTGATGTTAGTAGTCATTGATGTCTTTACTTAGATCCATTATTTTATAGGCATTGGGAAATGATGATACTCTTTTCTTTTTCCAACTAATTAATCAGTTTCCTAGCACCCTCTAATGATGACAGAGAGGTTTTCCCTTAGTGGCATTATGTATTCAAGAATTTACACATATTTGATGTGTTTCAGTCCTTTGCCATTGTTCTTCACAAATTGTTCCCATTTTTGGCCAATGGGAGCCCCTTCAAGTTGATTTTCTGAATCCTTTGACACAATCCAAATAGTTTTTGAAAGTTTCTTTGCTTTCTGGCCTGACTGGATGTCCAGGCTCGTCTTGTACATTTCCTGCCACAGACCTGGAATGAACTGTTTGCTTTAAGGGTCTCTGATTGCTTTGTTTTGTAAAAGGTATTTAGAGGCAATAGTGTCTGCATCAAGAGTGCTTGTTACTGGATTGGATATTGGTTCTAGCCTTTTTAAGTGGACAAAGCTAGGGAAAAAATTTAATGCAAATACATTATAAGTTTGTATTGATACTTCCAACTCAAATTCAGGACTGTACACACATGTGCATGCGTGCATGCAGTATTTTCCTTCTCTAATTTCTCCCACACTGAAACAGGCCTGGCCCAGAGGCTGTGGGTGTGTGTGTGTGTGTGTGTGTGTGAGAGAGAGAGAGAGAGAGAGAAGCAAAAAGAACCCATCAATATCAGGCTGCCTGTGCCACCAGAACACAGAGGCTGGCCCACCAGTGTGTTCATTCTTTCCCTCTTGGACCAGAAACCTCCTCCTCACTGCGCCAGCTGCTACAGAGCACACAAAGGAGACTGCACATCCTTAGGGAACAAGAGCCTGGGGTGCACGTGCCTTTTGCAGCACAATTGTGTAATATCTGGGCCAGATAAACCAATTCACATGCAACTGGGGCCTTGTGTTGGTAGTGCCTCAATTTTAAAATATGTTTCTCACAGAAACATCAACTTGCTAACAAGTACAGAAAGAGAGGAGTGAAGCAGGAAGAAAGAAGCCTCTGGGAAGGGGGAGGAAGCTGCAAGTAACCTCAAAGACACGAAGACTACGTTTACTGAGTCCTCTGCACATGGGGTCCCAGACAAGGGCAACCTGGCTCCTGCCTTTAAGGAACAAGCACATATGAATCAAATGTGCATCAATGATGTATCAGGCATTTGTAAGTGGAAAATGCAGAACATGAACCAAAGATACTAATAGAGTTTAGAGGATGGAAAAATTATTTTTCTGTGACAGAGAGAGAAAGGGTCTCACCCCCATCATGCAGGACCCTGCCCATTTCTGGGGGAGAGGGGGCCACCGGGGCCTGCCCTGTGCTTTGATCCCGGACACTGGAGGAGGTGGGGCTGGGCTGGGGTCAGGTGGGCAGTGCCTCCTCCTTGTACATCCATGGATCTTCCTTTCTGGCCGGAGCGCCCCTTCCTGCAGAGCCCTACAGCGGGGGCGGGAGCGGGGGCGCAGGAAGAGTAGGGCGGGGCACAGCTCCTGGGTAGCTGGGTCTCCGGTTACTTCTCTTGCAGTTGGGGAAAAAGCCCTTCGTTTCCAGGGTCAGATTTGATTACAGCAGCCTGGCAGTTTTGTCACTGCTGGCCTGAGGGTTGTTCAGAACTGGCATTTTCTGACACCCAACACTGTCACTAGATCTCTACACACATTAGGAGGCAGCTTGTCATGGACCCCGGCCTGCCCCTGACTAGCATTTGACTTTCAACAAGTCATTCTCCTGCGTGTGCAGCGAGCGGTCCCTGGATCACGGACACAGGTGCCGCTCCAGAGTCCAGGGCTCCTTGATTCTGCGCTGCTCCGCCCACCCATCAAACAGCAATTTACAGTCCCCGCGGATGCTCCCTCCTTCCCTCCTTTTTGTCAGATAATATTTGTCTGCCTTCCTGGACTCTGGACCGTGGGGCTGTGGCAACGAAAGACGCCATCACTGCAGCTCAGATGGGGCTGTGAGGAGGCCGGCTGGGAGCAGCCCGGCGCCCGCTTCGGGACCAGGTCCTGGAGAGGAAGTGGGCTCCAGGGAGAGCACGGTGTGGCTCTGCCGTGGGCTGCAGGGGCGGGGCGGGCAGCCACCCTGACCCGGAGAGCACCCCACAGTCGGGCCTTTTCTCAGCGACCTTATCACAGTGACACGAGGATAGTGTGTAGGCAGGGAAGCACCCTTCTTCCATCAGTGACATGGCCTGCTAAGATGACGTCGCTTGTCCAAGGGCAACCTGACTCGGGGCTATTTTTCTTCTGCCATCAAAAGGTGGAGGTGAGGGACATTTAGGAAGCCTCCGCACTATTTTCACAGCTTTTCTGTCAGTCTAATATTATGCCAAAGGAAAAGGGTTCTTCTTTTTCAATGTGAAGGACTTTGGACCTGCGTCGTCCCCTTCTGCAAGCCAATCACCCATCCGGCCAATTACCAACCATCCCTGTGGACTGGATGCCTGGTGGGGAAAGGCACCAGGGGGGTGGGGACCTCTGAAACGCAGTCCTGTTCTCTGAGCTCTCACATTTCCCCGAGGGGAAGGAGGACATGTTCAAGTTATTTCTATCAGAACAATGCCATGTGACAAGTGCCAACAGTGCCTGAAAGTACAAAGGGGAATGGCAGGAGAAACTGCTACTAGGAGCATGTTTTTTAAACAGCAACAAAGACTCTTTCCTCCTACAAAATAAGTTCACAGTGGTTTTGACTTAATGAACACTTTCCATATATATGAGCACTTCCATCGATTGGACATACATTTTCTCAGACTTCATGC